AGGTTAAATCATGATCCATAGTACATAATAGTGCATAACATGTAGTTGTACTATGGATCATTTAACCCATTCATGTTAGCAGGGGATCATTGTAAATCTAATGCTGCAATGTACGGGACATTTGTGCTGTATATGTACAGTACATATAGATATACAATTCTGCACTGCTAACATGAATGGGTTAAATGATCCGTAGTACAGGGCTACATATCATGTACTATGGATCATTTAACCCATTCATATATACGAGGGGTAATTGTAAATCTATTGTTGCAGTGCATTCTATATGTACTATGTAGTATATAGTACATATACATATAGAGTGCCTGCAACAATACATTTACAATTATCCTCTGCTAACATGAATGGGTTAAATGATCCCTAGTACAGGGCTACATATGGATCATTTAATACATTCATGTTAGCAGAGTATAATTGTAAATGTATTGTCTGCACTGTATGAACAGTGTGTACTCTATATATACTCTATATGTAGTACATATAGAGTATATACTGCTCATACAGTGCAGACAATACATTTACAAATAAACTTTATAGTGTTGCCGGAGAGAGCAGCGACGAGTCAGCGCTGGTCCAGTGGGAGGAGCTCCAGGTGGGGTCCTAATTTAGCTATATTAGAGGTGCCTGCCAACTAAATTAGAATCCCACCTGGAGCTCCTCTCGCTGCGCTTACTCACTGAGCGGGGTCATCTGGCAGTCTCCGGCCACCTAAATTAGGACGGAGACTGCCAGATGACCCCGCTTGGAGCTACGCCCACCGGAGCAGCAGTGACGCGACACTCGGCGAGGTAAGTAAGAAAAAAAACAGCGCAAGCTTCGGCGCTAGGCATCAGGGCATTTTGACAAGTACAAGTACTTGTCAAAATGCCTTGTATCGGGCCCGATTCCGATGCTAGCATCGGTATCGGGACATCCCTAATATCATGGGCAAAATTGTAATAATTTTGTTGGGCCTGGACATCTCATTCACTACAGTCCTTTTAGCTGTGTTGTGCTTCCTATAATCTCCTCCTCAATCCTTTAAACAAAAAGTATTTTGAAAAAAATATAAAAAAGAACAGAAGAGACATGTTTAAATGGAGACGTTTCACAAGTCTCTGTAAGTGACACAATGAAGTAAAAAAACATGGGGGGTGAGATAAATTGAAAAATTTAAAGTACCAACAGGAGACATTTAAAATAAGCCCATTACATAATTGTTAACAGATAGGAAAGGAAAAGAGGGGAAAATTCTAAGAAGTGTAGATTTGTACCATGATATGCTCCACACAAAAAGGAAAGATATAAACAGGTTGAAAAACATTGTATATGAGAAATTCCTTATCTGTTATGAGCTAAAAGTGTATTTTCTATAGACAAGACTGGGTGTCCCACAAGGTCATGGAGGCCAAGCCTCAGGGTGGCAGGGAGTGAAGGGGCGGCACAGCTGCTGGATGGGTAGTTGTTTTTTTTCTACATTTAGCCCTGCTTTGGGCAAACAGGGATAAATGTACAGTGTGGAAGTCGCTACTCATTTAGAACAAGTGATCCCGGCGATGCCACTGAGACCACTGCCCCCCTCCATGGTCCGCCTCTGGCTGCCTCTCTCCCTGCTGGCCGCTTCCCTCCTCACCTCCTCTTCTGGGGGACCCTGGACTATGGCACCTTTGTTCAGGATGGAGAGCAGGGAGCAGAGCAGAGAACGTCCGGTTTCCGCTAGGCTTTGTGTAAATACTGGGACAGGAGAGCTGCACTCCAACAAAAAAAATTATAAAAAGTTAAAAAAATAAAAGAAATAAAAAAGTAACAAATAATAAGAAATTATAATTAAAATAAAAAAGTGATACAAAAGTAAAAAATAATAACATAAAAACATTATAAAAATAAATAGTAATAATTAATAAGATAAATAAAAAGTACAAAAATAAATAAAAATTAAAAAAATTAAAAAGTGATAAGTAAAAAAATAATAAAGAAAAAAATTGCCATCTGGTTGTGGTGCTCTGGGGTGGAGGGGTTTTTGAGTGGGGAGAGGGGCGCTTTGAGGAACCTGACCTTGGGGCAGCAGAGAGCATAAATCCGGCCCTGTCTATAGGACAGCACATGAATTAATAATATGCAAGGAGCAATGCATTTACATATAGTCATTGGCTTAAATCTGAACTGAAATCCACTATACTCAGCTTCCTTCCAGCAATGTGATGTCAAAAAGCTCCTTTGCCATTGCTGACATCTTTTTTCCCAGTCTTCTCCTGGATTTGATATCTTCTGCCATCTTGATTGGCCCACTTGAGATGGCATAGCTTCTGCATATATGCATGAAAGTTAATTTATCCCAGCATGGCAAGAATGGACACTGAACTGTGCTTTTGCTGCATTCTAAAGAACTGTACAAGCAGGCAGGTAAGAAACTTTTGTTGCAGGAGACACATAGTGGGGAATTTATCAACTCAAGTTATTTTTGAAAATAAAAGATAGAAGCTGATAGAAAAGATAGAATATATA